GCCACCTTTGGTGTCAGTGTTTGGTAGAGCAAATACACTGAACAGCCAGTGGAGAGTGGGGGAGTTGATTCTTCACAGTGATGGCTCAAGAATCAGAAGCATCAGGTCTGAACAGAACTTTGAGAAACTTGACAGAGAAGAGAAGGTGAGGGAGGGAAGTAGTTGGAGGGAGAATAAGATTTGTGAAGGGGTAAGATAAGCATTGTTACTTGAAATGCTTTAGTGCAAATGAACAGCTTTTAATGACCATAATAAAAATTGAGCTTTGAGAATAAATAGACTGTGCAAAAGAACCAATGTTCATTAAATCATTTTTTGTGCTACTCCTTAATTGGTAATTGGTTTTCAACCATGACATATTTGTTCATTAATTGGTATGCTTCCTATTTAATCATACTGTAATGATTCTCTTAGGGGAACATGGCTGAAAAAGACCCAAAGAGAGACCTAAATTCCCGTCCATAATTTTCCCATTACTAAGACAGAACAATTACAAGAAGGGTTTTCCTATAGGTACTCAATTCCATTTTTATCTTACATTTTTGAATGGGCACCTCATAGTGGGCATGATACTCAAGAAAAAGAGATTTTGTAAGTGCCACGTGTCTCCCTTTTTGTCCTTGTTTTATAGTCACAATCAACTGCCTCCTTCAACATATTTTACTTGTGAATTTTTTTAAAGATGGGATGTGGACTATCCTGTGGAATGTATGACATGCCCTTCAAGTTGACTTTGAAAGGTGATTAATTATAGCAGTGTCTGCTCAGTTTCAAAAGTTCAAATTAAATATACTTCAAAGATCTTATCAAAGGGAATATATTTTACACACCTGTCACTTGTGAGAAGGGCTGATTTGAGTTAAAATTGGGAAGAAGGTAAAGCTAATCATTCAAAAGCTGGCACACCCTACCCCAGTCTGTTGAATGAGCCAGTCTTCATAACTAATTCTCCAGGAGTTCTGTGATTTCACACAATTGATGTAATTCATTGTTGGAAAGGACTTTTAGAAATTACTGAGGTCCAAAGATGTGAAATGAAATGATTGAGCTCTCAGTAAGTGAGGGAATAGTTTAAGAATGCCCTGAGAGCTTTGAGCTGCCAGTCCAGTACTGTGTCCACTACAGTTGGCAAACTACAGCCCACAGGCCAAATCCAGCCTAATGCCTGCTTTTGTAAATAAGGCTTTATTGGAACACAACCATAGTCCTTCATTTATATAGTCTCTATGGTTGCTTTTTCTGTACTATCACAAAGTTGAGTAGTTGCCACTCAGATGGTATAGGCTGCACAACTTAAAGTATTCACTCTCTGACCCTTTGTAGGAAAATGACCGAACTCTGTGACAGACCAATCCTGGCTGCACTTTAGAATCACTTAAAAAAAATAGGACAGGCTGCTGAGTCACACTCTCAACCTGTTCATCTGCGATCTTTCAGAATGGGATCCAGGAATCAGCGTTTGCAGAAAAGGTGATTTAAATGCTCAGTCAGGTTCAGAATCATTGCATTACATACTACTACCTCTAAAGCACATCACCTCGAAAACACATTTCAGGCTATGTCTTTCGAGTTGGGCTATAAGACTGAGAACAGGTCTCCAGAACAATGCTTCACACATTTTTGCTGGTATCAGAATCACCTGGAGTGATTGCTGAGTCTTACCCCAGAGATTCTGATCAGCAGATCTGAGGGCAGGCAGGAGAACTGACATTTCTAACAAGCTGTCGGTGGTGCAGGTGCTGCAGATCCCTGGACCACACTGACCCTGGACCAAAAGAGCTTTCATCTCTGATGAAAGTCAGGCTTATGGAATGGGGTTGTAGACCAAGTGCTGGGATTGTCCTAGGTCACATTGCAAAGATCCGCTCTCCTCTGCTCAAATCATCATTGCTCTCTCCTCCCACCCTATATATAAGACTTGAAATCAAGTAATCCTTGTTCTGGGTCTCCAGTCCTGCATAGGTTTTCCTTTATTGTCTCTTGAATTCCCTGGGGGATATTTTGAGACTTGTAAAATAACTATTTTAAACGGAGCGAGGTGGATGGTGGATGCGAGACAGTTTCTGGTGTAAAAGAAAATGGATTATTTGTCACAAAGCAGTACAGAAAAAATGTTGATGTTGAATAAATGTTTGTCAAATTATAACAGCAAAAACACAAAATGTGAAAAAGCAACATAGACAGGCAGAGACAGAGGGACTTGGTGCCACAAAAATGATTTTATTTTGAACCAGAAAGCAACAGCAATCAAGACAATAATCAGGGCTGAGGGCTTGGCAGTATGACTCAAGTACCAGGGATTGAATTTGTCCAGGTGCACAGAGCGGCATCAAGAGAATCAAGTTTTCATTACTGAATTAAACTCATCTGGATCACGATACTTTTCAGTGATTCCCATTTACACAGGCTTGGATTGCTTTTCAGATTTCAGATTTGTATAAATATTTCGTAAATATTTTTAAAGGTAAAGGAGCCACTGCAGTAAAACTGAGTTGGTGCTCTTCCCGCCCCCCGCCCTTTCCTTTTGTAACAGACAATGAATCAAGTACAGGAAAAGTAGAAGGTATCATGAGAATTTTTCATTTAAAAAATCCTCCACAATCAACAGTTTCTAAACTGGGGTACTATTGATATCTGGGGCCAGATAACTCTGTGGTGGGGGCTGGGCTGTGCACTGTAGGATGTGTAATGACGTCCATGACGTCCACTCACTAGATATCGGTAGCTACACATCTCCAGCTGTGACAACCAAAACGGACTCCAGGCATTGCCAGATGTCTTCGGGGGGGTGGGGGTGGAGGTGGGGCAAAATCAAGCCCTGGTTGAGAAGCATTGTTTTCAAAAACATCCTTCTGCCCCCTCATTGTCTTTGTATGCTTTAAACATTTTATTAAGGTAGATAAGATCATCAACTCCCCAACACCAATGCACATGTATGTGAGCATATATGCGTGTCTCTGCAGGTATTTACATGTGTGCCTGGAGCTGCGGTGGAATTCCACGGTCACTGGAGGGCACTAGTTCAGTTCCTCAGGAAACTTAAAGTCAATATATCAGTACCATAATCAAAAGCCTGTCTGTATTCAGGCCATTTCCTCTTCTCCAGCAGAAACCATCATCAATGTTTGCAGTCAGTTTTTGAAGTCACTTTCTTTTAAAGTTGGGAAGAAAATCTTCACCCAAGCCCACCCTTATCTTAATCCACCATTTAGGTTCCTACTGGAATGATACAGCCAGCACCTTTCAACTTTGGATCCAGATTTCTTTATTTGTATCCACCAGGAAGAGAGGTACCACGTTTCTGAGTTCTGAGTACTGGCTACATAATTTGCAAGGCCCAGTGCAAAGTGAAAATGTAGGCCCCTTGTTCAAAAATTATTAAGACTCTCAAGACAGCAACAACAGAGCATTAAACCAAGCATAAGGCCCTTCTGAACCCTGGCCTCTGGGCATACGCATGATGCCGGACCTGGCAGTCTTGGTTGGTGCTGCATCAATTTTGTTGTATTAATTTAATTGGCACTGCCATCTCTTTTGCCCCAGTATTACAATGCTCCCTGTGAAGTGAGGACCTCAAAAAATAAAACACCGTGACCCCAATCCATTTAAACAGAATGCAAAATTACACTGCAGCAAATGTTTACAGCATATATTTTTAGACTTTCAAAAAAATTCACATGGAAATCTTTTCTACATCATTACAGTAATTAAACACTGTGGCCTTTCACCATATACACATTTCCCTGTAAATATGACAACCTGAAAATAGTAACTGCTACTATCCACAATGTTTTAAGTTAGCCAAGAGTGAGACTTCAACAACAAAATTATAACACAATCTCTTGTGTCCTTATAAAAATAGCCAAAACATACCCTAAATGGCTTGCAGTGAAAATTTGAGTAATTTCTTTATGTTGAAAAACATTATTTTCATGGAAATACTGTCCTTCTAGTAAATGTTTTATGTTAACATCATAAGGCAAACTGTAGCATTTACTGATACCTGGAGACCATGATTTTAAAAACTCAGAAGTTGAGCTTTAGACCCTTTTATTTAGAACCTGTTAGTGTACAAAGTGCATTAAAATATCCATTATCCAGTTACACAAAATGTATGTAAAAATTACTGAGACAACCCTTTCAGTTTATTTAGGGAAGGCAAGTACACATGGTTTTTATATTGTAAAAAAAAAAAAAAACCCATAAAATTTCCAAAGAATGATTAATAGTTTTTTTCCATTGAGGTGTCCATCTTTTAGATGTGAAATTGTTTTAAGTAGTTATCAAAATATTCATCTGGGTATAAATAATATAGTAAATATATAGAATCTATCAGTTAAGAAGAGGAGAGTGTCTGCCAGGGAAGAGGACGGATGGACACAGGAAGCCAGCTTGGTATCCCTTGAAGTCTAGATTCGCAATCACATGAGCTTTGACCACATAATGCTGAAACAACAGGTCCACTGACTTATTTCAGGGAAGCGATTGGTTGATTTTATTAAAAATAAAATAACTAAAAACAATGTCTAAATCCATCAGTCTGTTCATTCAAAATGGCTGACCCAGTATCTCAGGTAACTATTTTAAGCAATTGAAACCATTTACAGATGTCATACCCTTTGTCAATGTAGAACCAATGCCGGAGTCCCAGTCCAAAGACTGCTCAAGAAAGCCTCAATTCATGGACCGTTCCAATGTGTCAGATCAGCATGCAAAGAATCCTATCCGACATTTTATAAGCAAGTTCTATTGTCAGGTTCCCGAATAACAAGTTCGGTTTTTTTTTGTTTTTGTTTTTTTGTCTTACGATGCTATTGTAAGCTATACTAGACTATAGAGGAATGCCTATGTCTTTCAAGATGTGTTTAATAAAGATCTGTTTATAATAAACTGTGGGACATGCATCTTGTGAGTAGTACTTAATACTAAGTGTTTTTCAGTAACTTATATTTGTATGTGGTAGTGGTGATTGAGGCCAATCAATCCAATGTGGTGCTGCCATTTGTGAGAGAACTTGTTTATTTCCTCAGTTCCAGAGACAAAGGGAAAATTGATATGGGAGAGGGGGAAACAGGACAGCTATTAAATGTAGTGAAGAAATTTCACAGGTCTAAAGGAACTATTCAAAGGAAGAATAAAATAGACTTTATATCATGAAACAGAATCTTACTTCTGATAAAACGCAAATCAGCCTGAATTTGTGAGTAATCAGTAGGATTCAAAATGACTATTTTCAATTGCAGTCTCATTCTTAATGTTCTCCCAGAATCCTTAACTCTGGGAGAAGCAGGGCAAATTCTGGCCAAAGGTTTCAGAACCTCTCTTTCCAACATTATCCCATCAGTCATCAGAAAGTAATTAAAGATTTAGCCACGAAAAGGTCCGAGGTCCAAAGTCAATGATTTTCATTCTCTCTCTTGCTCTCCATTCTAGTTGATCCGATACAAGTTTTTGACATCACAGTTTAAATACTTCAAATTAAACCAGAGTAAGAAAGCCTGTTTACTTCCCCAGTAGGTTCAAACATATTCTGTTATACACTGTCGAGGTGACAGGACCTACCATGGGATCCGTATGGGATATTATGTGAGTAGGTGAATAAACATACAGAACTACAAAATATATATATTTTTGCAAGCCCATAGACTGTGATGAAATTCAGGTTGTAAATAGCTGGTAAACTTATGGGCCTCTTAATGTGCAAAACCAAATAATTCCTAAGAGTTGTAATCCTGATTATGTGTCTCATAAATAATCTATAGATTTTCCTCTAAATACAAAAAAATTAAAGAAATTATTAAAGCCTGTACTTAATAAAAAACACAGTAAAAGGAGAGGAATCTCCCATTTTGAGCCCTATCTTAGCCAATTTCTGGACACTTTTTGGTGGGATTTAATCACACTTTTGAAGCATATGCTTTCTCAGTCCCTAATTAGTGGCTTCAACCTTTTTGTTCCCCAGAAAGCAGCTCCATGTGGCCAGATGCTCATGGCAGCTGCTCTGTGCAGTCCAAATGGTCTGGGATAGGAAGCCCAGTGATAATCGTCAGACACTTGTTCCACACGGTGAAGGTGGGGCACACGGGCTGCGCAAATGCAACATCAAAGGTGTAGAGGTGGATGGAGTTCAACGCATCGTAAAAGGCGATGGACCCATTATCATAGTCCAGCAGGATGCCCACGCGCCGGAGGTGGGGAGCAGGCTCGATGGGGATTTCCTTGCTGTTGTGTCTCACCACCCAGTTATTGTTGCAGCGGCAAAGCGCCCAGGAAGCAGAGTTCTTCCCAATCCATTCATGCTTTGGGGCCGATTTGTAAGCAAGGCCAATGGCATACCTGCAGAAACAAAACAGCAACAAAGAAAACAATGAGCCACATTGTACAAGCACATGAATTCCATTCCATGGTACTCAGGGGTCATGAAACTTGATTGTCTGCCGCCCTTGTTCATTTACTTTAAGTGAAAGCTTGGCAAGAACCCCAATAGTTGTGTTCCCCATCTACTTACCTCCTAAATGTACAGTGAGCACAAGCATTGTATCTACCCACATTCCTGTTTTCAGCTCCAACACCACGGAGAACCTGAACTTTGTGTTTTTCTTCACCCTTATAAAGACCTACACAATGAGTTCTCTAGACCAATGTCGACCAATAGAACTTTCTGCAATGATTGAAATGTTCTTCTGTGCTCAGTGTGGTGGCCACAAACCACATGTGGCTACTGGGCACTTGAACTATGACTGGTGACTGAGGGACTGAACTTTGAATTTACTTAATTGTCATTAAGCTAAATTATTTAGATAATCACACACGCCTCATAGCTGCCATAATGGAAAGCACAGCCTCGACTTCTTTTGATCTTCTTTTAATTTTTCACTTGACACCATGTATGTCATTTTCCATGACTTCAAACGCACTTTTCCAAAGCAAGCTTAGAGAATGATTTCCATTTATGGGGATAACATCACTTAGCCTAAGTTTTTTCATCTATAACACAGGAACAAGGGTAGTCTTCATCTCCCAGGTTTATTTTAAGAAGTAAAAAAGAGAATAGATGTTAAGTCCTGGGCACAGAGCCTGGCATGCAATATTCAATAACTGTTACTTTGTTATTATTGCCTGATGAACCATTAACTGTAAGTACCAGAATCAGAATTTGAAACTAGGATGATTCAAAAGGCCACAAACTTAAACAACATTTTATATTGCCTTCCCTCACCAGAAATTGTACAATTCACCACTGCCAAGAGTCCCCCTGATTATATTTCCTACTATATTTTTAAAAATTCTGAATGTGCTTGAGCAGATGGATCTTCTGGTTATTCTGAATGTTCTGTTACTACTCAAAAAAAGTCTTAAAAATTCTTCCTACAATGTTCTAAGCTTCTTAATCTCTTTTTAGTTTCTGTAATATTCACAGCATTTCATAGTTACTAAGATAAGCAAAACCCATCACTTTTAATAAAGAGTGAATGAATCACAGTTCAATTTTTAATATGTTATAGCAGAACCAGCATAATTGATATTAACATATGGTACCTTACCCAATGCAAAGAGAAAAATTTCATTAGTCTTTAATTAAATGACATTCTTTAAAAAAAATCACATTGGATTTAAAATACAATCACTTTAAGAGTGGTGTGTTTAAAAAGAAAATGAATACAACATGCTACCATTAAATCCAAAAAGAGACTGGAACTGATAATCTGTTAAGCCCAGTTTACTGGCCTGTTTGTCACCAATCCTCCCCTGCTTATGGGGTGCATTTCCCAGAATCCCCTTTCCTGTAGGAGTCTGGGTCAGGTTCTGCTATTGTGATGTCTTTGCACAAGATCCAGAAGTGCTAGGAGGAAGGGAAAAATTCTTTTCCAATGGTAGACAGTAGGCGTGAGGTTTGTGGAAGCTTTTGGATGAGCTTCTGGGTACACCTGCCTTGTGCTGTGGGCAGCTTCGCAGCAGCTGCAGCGCATCTCGACTCCATGAACTGTAGCAGCAGACCCACTGATTTCACTCTCTAGCCCTTACAGGGCTCTGAAAGCTCCTGGCTCCCTTCCTCTGTGGAGTACCTCCAGGATCTCATGTGTTGGTTGTTGTTTTGCAATTGCCAGTATCTCCCCCAAAGATGTGTCCTATGCCCTAGCAGGCATCATTTCCATCTTTCAGACAATTTGGAACCTGCATTTGTGTCACAAAATAACTACATCTGTATTTCCTTCTCGGTGCTGCACAAAATTTTTATTAAAGACCTTTGATGCTTATTTTCCATTTGAACCTTGACTGAACCCTATGAAGTACCCGTAGCAGGTATGGCTGACTTCATTTAACAAATGGAAACATAGAGAAGGTTAAAATTAGGAGTAAAATCCAGAATCTCACACTGCCCCTCCCTCCGTCTAGTAATTGTTGCATGAGCCCATTATTACTCGTTTAGTTAACACCATTTCATAAAACACGTTAGCAGTGCACGTTCTAGTGCACGTTAGCAGCACTAGAAAGTAAGAAAATAACTAAGAGTATAGCCCATTAAGCAAAGGAAAATACCATTATATTATCATTAATCTGTGAAACTATGTACATATTTCCATTGAGCTTGAATGGTGCAGGCAGAATGTAATGTTGCATTAAGTTACGCAGTGAGACATGGAGAATTCAAAGTATAAAAATTATGTTTCTCAGAGCAATGTTAACATGCCCCATTGCACAGATCATAATGTACACATTAATTTAAAGTCAGGACTATATTTCATGAGAAAATATATGTGCCGTTAGCTGCTGCAACTCAAGGTGTCACAGGCGTTTAAATCTTAGGGAGTGCCCCTTCCTTGCTAAGTGTGAACTCACTTTCTACATAAGGATTTTTTTTGAAATTGACACAATGAGGTTTGTAAAGATCCAAGTGTGGCAATTAATTTTAAAATTTCTTTTGCCCCTCATGAGTTAGTTTAGACATCTGGAGGGTGTTTTCAAGGTAATGCTGATCTCTGTTTATATAACTGAAGTGGTCTGGTGGAATTTCCCGCACTATTCATCAGTGGCAATGAGATCATAATGATCAGGTATCATTTATCACAAATAATTATTAATAGGGTGGTAATCATTTAGACTCTGGATTCTATCCCAGATTAATACAACATATTAATTAACTAGAAATATTTGCTTTTTGCACCTGCATTTATTGTGTTTTCCTTTGTGCTTTAATCTTGCCCCATTGCAGCTAAATACTGCAAATGCCAATCTAGCCCAGAGCCTAGTGAGAGGATTTGTCCTCTATCCTCTGGCAAGGATGTTGGAACAGAAAAATGTTCTGGGCAAAGAGAATTCTGAGGATAACAACATAGAAGGTCCTACTCACTCAGCTAATGTAGTATGGACCATTACTGGGATAAATGGGATACCCAAGCTTACAGTTTCACTTATTAGATTTCAGTTGATTTGTATCTATTATATAAGGGACTTAGACATATTGCATAATTTGCATAGATTTGATTTAAATTTTTAAAATATAAATAGGAAGTGCTTTATCATGCTTATATAGAAACAGCTATACTCATCATCTTCAGGTTATGCAGTGTTGAATATTAGTTTTATTTTTAAAGCTAGGATTAAGCTATCACTCGTTAAGTACACTACTGTAAGCCCTAAAGAGTAATTATAACATTTCAAAATTATATCACCCTTTTGTGAATAGCAGCATAGCATGGTGGTTACGAGCAGGGAATAGCAAACTACTACCTAGAGACCAACTCTGTCCCTCCACCTGTTTTTATAAATGAAGTTTTATTGGAACACAGCAATGCCCATTAGTGTAGGCATTGTCTATGACTGCTTTCCCACTACAACAGCAGAATTGAGCATTTGTGACAAAAAGTCATTTGGCATGCCAAACTAGGAGTATTGACTCTCTGGTCCTATACAGATAATGTTTGTGGACTCCTGGTTAAGAGCTTGACCCCCTGAATGCAGACTTCCTGACTCTGCCATCTGGGAGTTTTGTGACCTTCTGATCTTGGGCATGTACTTCAGTCACCTAATCTGTAAAATGGGGTATTTACACTTACCTTTGTAGGGCTGTTATGATGAATAAATAAGTTAACATTTGTAAAATGCTTACACCAATGCCTGGCACATAGTTGTGCCATCTGAGAGCTTGTTAAATAAAAATAAAATAGCTGTCTTTTGGAAAAACGGCAGACAGGCTTTTGTGAGACAGACGGTCAAAGTAAGGGATGCAGTTTGTGGCTGTGGATTAGGCAAGGTTAACTTTGTGAGGTGAACTAATTTCAGTGTAATTGTGTCCTGACCTTTACCCTTAGTCTTTGAGAACTCAGCAGGCTAAAGTCACTGGACTGGATCTAAGAGACCTTTCAAAGTTATTCCCAGCCTATGAGCATTGTTTCACCCCGCCCCCTCAGCCCTTAGCTATTTGCACCAACTGATCCAGTGTAGAACCACAAAATATACAAGGCAACAGAAATTAGCTGTGTAAAATGATGAAGAGTGATGTTTTAAAGTAGGGAACAATACTTTTTTCTCTACAGGACCAGAAAGTAAACATTTTTGGCTTTGCGGACCACGATTCTGTCTTAACTACTCAACTGTGCTATTGTGGCTCAAAAATAGCCATAGACAATGTATACAAGAATAGGCCTGGTTGTGTCCCCATAAAACTTTATTTATAAAACCAGATAGTGGGCCAGGTTTGGCTCATGAGCTGTAATCTGCTGATCCATGTTTTAAGGCACAAAAGAGCAGTATTAGCATATTATAGCTCTTCCAGGGACCGGAGCTCTATAATCTTAATCTGCTAACCTACAGATGTGAATGTTAGTATAAATGGTTGTTATTTAAAGTCACTGACTGAGTTTTGGGATGTTTTTTATGCAGCATTATCCTAGCAAGAGAAGACTGATACATCTTTTCTGAATGTTATTCTTCAAGATAGATTCTGGCATGGGTTGATGCTCTGACAAAGTACAGAATAAGATGTGCCTTTTTAATAACTAGAAGACAATAGATGTAAGTTGCCTACCATGTGCTTCCACTTATGACCACTTCCCAATAATGCCGGCCACTATCAATAAACACGTTTCCAGCTACTCCATAGCTCCCTTGGCTGGTGAAGCGTTCAGGTGTGTGACTCTTCTTGGATGATGACTCATCACGTTCTACTGTCAAGTTATCATGGGACACCTTCAGTTTTCGATGAGCAGATTTGGGATCCAGTTTAAATGGTTGACCTGGAAAGCAGGAAGAAGAATGTCAATTTTGACATAACCATTTGCATATTTTTATGATCAAATTTAAAAGACAGAGGCCAGGTGCAGTGGCTCAGGCCTATAATCCTAGCATTTTGGGAGGCAGAGGTGAGAGGATTGCCTGAGCACAGAGGAGTTTGAGACCAGCCTGGGCAAATTGGTAAGACCTCATCTCTACTAAAAATTAGCGAGTGTGGTGGCATGTACCTGTAGTTCCAGCTACTTGGAAGGCTGAAGGGGAAAGATTGCCTGAGCCCAGCAGGTCGAGGCTGCAGTAGCCATGAGAGTGCCACTGCACTCCAGCCTGGGCAGCAGAGTGGGACTCCAACTTCAAACAAACAAACAAACAAACAAACAAAAAGACAGGATCAAAAAAGCCCTCCCTGAATCATGCCTTTTATCACAAAGTAGTATCTTATATTTTAATAGTAATTTAAACTTTATAAACAATTTTCAAACTTTAAAACAATTTTCTGGCAATGTCTTCATGCAAGTTTTCATGATATTCAAAATATAATAGGGGGCAGCAACTCTGTGTCAAGTATAGTACACAGTAAGAGGTAAGAGTGAATCATAATGTTCCCTTGCCTTCATGAGCTTTCAGTTTATCAGTTCCAAGATAGGGATTTAGTGGCACTATACTAACTATTCAACAACAGCATGGGCAAAAGGACTAACTAGAACATATGCTATGTGCTATCTTCATGGATTCTAGCTGTACATAGCAGCACAGGTACATACTGGCTGGATAGCATCCCCAAAAGGAGGAGGGAATGAATATTTCATTTTCCACCATTGCTCTACTCAATCCAGCTTAAGATGCACTCATGCTCAATAGACTTCAGACCAGAAACCAAACAAATCAAGGTTTCAGGTCTTTACATGTAGAGTATTCTAGAGGCTTACAGTATTCTGAGATTCTTAAAAAAAAAAGTATTACTTTTATGAGCTTAGAATGACTGTAAAATTTTCAACCCACAAAATCAGGGAAAAAATGTGGTCCTATTACCTAGGTTATCTACTCCTGAGTTTATTTATATATAATAAGGCCCTCTTTATTTCATTACTTACATTTGTATTTTGAAGATTTAACTATTAAAAATCGTAGCAGAGTTATGCCTGGACATTTTGTCATAGCTGTTACTTCTTTGACAATTCAATATTAGTTTGGAGTACTGCCTGTCATTCAACACCACACTGAGTACAAGGAAGTTAAAAGCAGGAAATGAGTTACAACCTGATGCAAATACCATGGTGGCCAAACTCCACAGCCACTGTTGCAGTTGGCAGGACCCTTTGCCCAGTATAGCTCTCAGGTGATCACAAGAAAAAGTTTGGTAAATTGGACTATGGCAATACATGATACTGGCCGAGAAATTAACCCAATGAGTATGAGGCAGTGTGCGTTTTGTCACATGTGGGCAGGCAGAATTATTTTCAGTCACCTCTTGGATACAAACACAACACAAGCATCTCTAAAATCCTTTCTTTCAGATCAGGGATAAGCATGCTTTTTCTGCAAGGGGCAAGATAGTAAATATTTTCAGCTACTCAGGCTATGTGGTTTCTTTTGTAACTATTAGAACCTTCTGCTGTAGTGAAGAAGCCACAACAGAAAATAGGCACAACTACTTTATTTACAAAAACAGGCAGCCAGATTTGGCCTTTGAGCTATAGGTTGCTGAACCTTATTTTAGATTTCTGTCCTTATCAAAGAACAGCTTTAAAGGGGGAGCTGAGAAAAGCCTCAAGTGCTAAGCAGGGCTAAAGACCTATGGGATTACATGTGTAGTTTAAATTTTGATTTGTCTTGTAAAAAAAAAGTCCTTGGAAATGATTGTGCCAGCAACTAGAAAAGAAGAGTATGAAGGTAGCTTTGCTTAAACTATTTCAATTTTTCAAGGTGAAATGTAAAATGTGAGTAAAAATAATTGGATACTAATGGGCAGAGTAGGAAGAAATTCCATAATGGGCCTGAGTATGGTGGCTCACAACTGTAGCCCTAGCACTTTGGGAGGCCATGGTGGAAAGATCGCTTGAATCCAGGAGTTCAAGGCTGTAGTGAGCCATGATCATACCACTGCATTCCAGCCTGGGTGATACAGCGAGGCCCTGCCTCAAAAAAAGGAAGGAAGGAAGGAAGGAAGAAAGGAAGGAAGGAAGGAACAAAGGAAGAAAAGGAAAGAAATACTCCGTAAGAGCACTCATCATTTACAGTAAAGGCCAAATTCTGTTTGACTTCCTTCTGGTGAGGAATATCAGAATGTTGTAGCCATCAGAAAGACTAGCCTTGTGATGGTGAGATACTGCTTCAAACATCCTGCCTGCCTTGGCTCACACCTTCATCCACCATGTACAGAGCAGGATCTTGCATTCTCAGTGAGCAAATTCTGCCTGTGCTTCACGTGTGTATTCCAGATAAACCACTACCCACTCAGCCCAAATTCAAGGCTTTTGCTTCAATGAGGACAAATTAGTTCAAGGAAGAAATTTCTTTAGCAAAGAAATTACTTTACTGAAGAATTCAATTTACTATAATATCTGTATATGGCATGACTCTATTCAGGCTGCAGTTTTTTACATGGACAACTCTTTCAATAATCTCTTGACATTTTGCCCAGCTGCCAGTCTCCCTTCCTTGTGATCCACTCACCACATCACAGGAGAGCTTTATTTAATGGAAAATTTCATCCTGACTCTCTTATTTAAGCTCTTCAATATATCCCCTACTCAATCATTGCTATCTAAGGAAACTCCCTGGCGTGGACTAGAAGAATTTCACAATCTGCTCTTGTCTCCAGGTTCCTGGCTACCCATCTTGCCAATGTAAGACACACTTTTACCACACTGATCAATTTTCTGTTCTGCAAACATATTCTCCTTATCTCTAGGCTTTTGCACATGCTGATCCCTCTGCATGGAACACTGCCTCCTCCTTACATCCCCTGCTCCTAATCCACCTTGGAAAGCTTCCCAAGGCTGTTCTGGGGCATCTCCCCCCATAAACTCAAGGCCTCTCATGGTTACTCCTACTGCAGGCTTCACACACTGAATAGTAATTAAGAATTGACATGCTTTATTCCCCAATAGTCTATGACCTTTTTAGAGAAGCTGCACACCTTAGGGATTTAAGATGTTCACAGTATCCTCAGCATCCTGCATAGCATCTCAAATATACTAGATGCCCAAACATATTTTTGAAAGAACAAATGTTCACATGTTCTAATATATATCAAAAACTACTATCTGAGTGTGTGTGTGTGTATGTATATATATATATATATATATATATATATACGTATATATATATATATATATATAGTGCCATTTATTGCGTGGTTATAAAGAAACATGTCATCATGCTGTATTTTCTTATGTACTTAGAATTGTTTTGAGCTTGTCTTTGTGACAACTCATAAATGAAATGAAAATATTCCCATTTTAAAAGTTAAGAAATGGCCAGGCACAGTGGCTCATGCCTGTAATCTCAGCACTTTAGGAGGTCAAGGCAGGAGGATCACTTGAGGCCAGAAGTTCGAGACTAGCCTAGACAACATAGCCAGACCTCGTCTCTACAAAAAACTTTAAAAATCAGCTGGGCATGGTGACACATGCCTGAAGTTTCAGCTACTCAGGAGGCTGAGGAGGAAGGATCACCTGAGCCCAGGAGGTTGAGGCCGCAGTGAGCCATGATCATGCCACTGCACCCCAGCCTGGGTGACAGTGAGACTCTGAGTCAAAAAAAAAAAAAAAGAAAGAAAGAAAGAAAGAAAGAAAGAAAAAGTGAAGAAACACTAAATCCATTGTGGGATCTTGAACTGGATCCTGGAACAGGAAAACAACATTAGTGAAAAACTGGTAAAATCTGAATAAAGTCTAGAGTTTAGTTAAGAGTAATGTAGAAATGTTAATTTCTTAGTTGTAACAAATGTACCAAGGTTACATAAGATATTAACATTAGGGTAAACTGGGTTAAGGGTATACAGAACTCTGTACTATCCATAGATTTACTATACATTTACAATTATTCCATATTAAAAAGTTTATTTTAAAAAATGAAGAGACTAGCCACACAATCATATGGGTACCAAGTGGCAGAGCCTCAGTCTTCTCATTCTTAATTTAGTGCTCTCTTTGCACCCCTATGCTATTCCTTGAGGACTCAACACATGCTCTATAATGTATTGGGAAAGTCAGGGAAATGGGTTCAGTAAGGGTTACTCTTGAAAAACAGTTGGATGTTCCTCTTGACTGGCTGGCAACCCCACAACATGGCGCCATATTGACACACTCCAATTTGCTTTCCCTTGGGAGGTCTTATGCAAAGAAACACCATGTTACATAACACAATATTTCTAGATCAAAAAGATGTAAAGAAAAAAGCGAGACTAAAACAAAACATATGTGGGCAGAGACACACAGAGGGAACAGTATCATGAGACACATACATAGGCCAGATTATTCTCTGTGCTGGGGGCTGTCCTATTCATGTGGGATGTTTCCCATCATCCCTGACTTCTACCCACTCGATGCCAGTAGCATTCATCTAATTGTGACAATCAAAAATCTCTCCAGAGATTGCTAAATGTTTCCTCTGGGTGTGTGTGTGTGTTGGGGGGGGGGGGGGGGTGAGGGAGAATTGTCCCCGATTGAGAACCACAGACCCAGACAGTTCTCTGCAATAAAAGGATTTCAGAATAGTTATTAATTTGCTATTCTGCCATGAAAATAATACTATTTACAGAGTAAACACCATTTACAGAGCCCCTACTGTGTGTCAGGTTTTATACATACATGTTCTATTTCTCACAAGAACCCCTGCCCCAGGATTATTTATTTTAAAAAATGATAAGACTGAAGTGCAGAGATTATTTGAAACCCAGAGGTGTCTGAAGCAAATTCCACTTCCACAGTGACTTTTTACTTGCTTTTTGAGACTGTCAGTGATGCCTAAGACAGAGAAAAGAAAAAAAAGTGGGAGATAGAGTCTGCTGAAAGGAGAGCAGATGAAACACGGCAGCTCTGCTGAGTTCACAGCACTTACTGTTTGTCTTCAACTTCCCAGGCTCACTGCTGCGGCTGCCCGCCTGGTTGATAGCCTTGACCATGAAGATGTACTTGGTACCGCTCTGCAGACCATGCACTGTGTAGTGGTTCTGCTTGATGTTGGGCACGATCATCCAGCTATCCGCTGAGTTACACAGACCTGCAAAGCCAACCGGACATGGTGCAGTTCTTTGGCACAAGCACAGGGCAATGTTTGTATACTTTTAGCTTGAATAATTTCAGTTCATTTGAACTGTTAGAGCTGGTAAGTGGAGGTTTTGTTGTGATAGCCATGTGTGAGAAACTTACTTTACTAACATAGATTTGGCAGATTGCAGTTTTACCTCCAATTCTTCACCTTGCCCTGTATCCAGGCCTAAGTGACTTTGCAGGTACTCCCTTTAAAGAGGGGATATATTTCCTTGTCACATGGCTTTGATTCTGGTCATATGATTTGCTTTGGTCAACAGGATGAGGCTGAAATGATAATGTGCCAGCTACAAGAGTAGGCATTACAAGGTCTGGAGGGTTTCTGTTGACCCCTTGTGTCTCTTCCATTGCCATGGGGAAAACATTCCCAGAATAATCTATCTGTTCATCCCAACAGGATGAGACATAGGGAACAGCTTTACTACTCAGCCAACACCCAGCAAATGCAGGACTCAGCCAAGCAGAGATCAGCCAACCCCAAAGATACAATCATCAGGGTTGTTTGTGGTCCTGTATTAGTGTGGGAGCTAAGTGTTATAGGAAACATATTCCTAAGAGCATCCTGGAGCAGCAGCACTTATGAGTAGCTCAGGTCCAGTGTGAACCTTGGGTAAGCATCCACAAGGATTTTTTATCAGCTGCATCCCTAGGATGACTGGTTCTAGAGCAGAGTGGGGCTGTTGCTCTGGCTGCTTTCTACAGGATGTGGGTTGGGGAGCAGGCTAAGGATTTATGATGCTTGGAAGAACACGTAGGAAAAAGGAAGCCCATTTTGTTTTGCAGCTGGTTGATGCTGAAAACATCTCTTTGGTATCAGTTCCAACTCTCCTCTCTCCTCTTTCCACCCATCAATCTCCACTCCAATAGAACCTTTTTCCAGCCCCCTGGTGACCAAGCTGTCATGAAGTTTCCTGACTCTGTTGAATTTCCTTCACCAGTCCCTGGAAGAGGGCTGGGCTCCTCCACTTCCTGAGGGACTTCAAACTCACCGCCTTCCCCTTCCCTTTCAGTTGATTTGCAAGTCAAAGGGTTAGTTCCTTTGATCTTGAAGCAACTTATACCTTACCAGATTCTCAAGAAGCAGTCTTTAATTTTTTTTTTTTTTTTTTTTGGTCTCACCACTTTGAGACTTTAATAAAACCTTTCTGTAGAAAGAAATTCACAAATGTATATACACACTAAACCACAAATATTTGCATAGCACCTCAAGGTAGTCACAGGCCCCTGGAGTCTGTCTTTGAATCCTATGGAATACTTTCTCCAACTTTTGAGCTAAAAATTATTCATGGTATTCTCACAGTTGAGAAAAACTTGAAAGTATTTTGTTAGTTGTGAAAATTCACCTCATACATATGATTTATATCTTGGATGTATAGTATTTTGAGGTATACATGTCAGTAAATTTAAGTGTATGTGTGTGTGTGTGTGTGTGTGTGTGTGTGTGTGTGTGTGTGTGTGTGTATTTGGCCTTGTAAATTTTCTGTTGCCTCTTTTCATTTCCACCTGCAAATACTTTCACCAGAAGAGTGCCAGATTTGAAAAGCCAGCTTAAAATAAGAAAATAACTTGAGATTCACAGAAGAAACTGTGCGTGTTTATGTTTGGCGATTAGGTAAAGCAATTAGAGGCACCATCTATCCTTCTATTCCCACTTTTCTCTAAATCCTATCCCTCTGATCTCCTACCAATTTTCACTTGCACAAGACTCAGGAAAACATCCACAAATAGTTTAGTGATGTAGGAATCTCCTACTATATATCCCTTCTCATCTTGCCTCACCATACCTTTTCTTTGAATATAGCTGTAATAAATTTTGTATTTCTGGACAGTGCCACACCAAGTATTAGATTTTGATCCAATAAATGACGGGTCATTTTGAACTCTAAGCTCTGGGCCCCAAGAAGCTTATAACTCTCTTTATGTATTTAATAATATTATTACATTGGTAATAAAACAAACAAAAAAATGCGAGGGTTTTTTTTTTGAGTTGGAGTCTCTATTGCCTGGGATAATTGATTCATATTCCTAGATCTTTGTCAACAACAGTCAGGCACAAATGAAAACAATAAGAGCATTCAGTAGATTTAAATGAGAATCCTATCAATTTCACTGCTGTTACACTGTTCCTGTTTAATTGCACATGTTACAATAAAATGACTATTGTGGTCAAAGAAAGCAAATGTAAAAATGTTTCAATAAACTTTACATCACTGTACAACCCCAAAGCTGGGTTTAATGTGGTAGGGGAATGCTTTCAGCAGCATCATAAAGCAGATGTCTGAAACTGCTGCAAACTGCAACTTGGCCTACAGTCCAAAGTCTTAACCCAACAAAGATTTAATGTTTCAGAAACTTTTTCCAAACAAAAAGGGAGTCTGACTATCTTGATTATTTTGAAGAGGTTACTAATTTTTTCCCTTGAATATTAAAAGAACAAAATGCTCATGAAGTAGTAAAACTTTATTGGCTAGCTTTACACTGGTACAATCTACTTTCATGAATTCTAACCACTATTACTGTTTGGGTTTTCCTTTATATTACTATTATTACCAGGATAATAATTGAGAAGTTGATTAAAAGTGCCAAAAAGGCAATACTGACAATTTTCTTTTGGAGGCTGAAGTAAGTAGGGTGACTTGGAGTGCACCATTATTGCGTTACTGGTGTTGGTCCTACGCCAGCACTACCCAACTTCTTGCATATGGTGCTGAGCACCAAGTTTACTTAAACAAGACCGCTCTGTCTTGATACCCCACTGTGTTAGGACTATTGACCAGGTTTTATTCATCTCTTTATGAAACACCCACACAACCATCCTGACTGAAACTTCCCTTTTCTCCAAACTTGTTTTCAATCATCTTTGAGGGTGTTTCAACATTCACCTCCTCCAACTCAACTTGAAGTATTAAAACAACAATGGAATTTGGAAGATAATTAGTCCAGAATGAAAACTAATTGAGTTTTTCAATTCTGTACATTTTTTTCATGCAGAATAAATCAGAAGCATTTCCCTATATAATGTGGCCCATTATAAGATCTTAATTACACTTGGGGTTTCAGAGTGTTACGGCAACTAGCATCTCGCTGCAAAACATTATGTATAAAAACATCACATGACGTGGACATTCTTTGGAGAGGCTGCACACTGGATTCTAACATCTTTTGTCCCTTCCAACAGATTGGGCAGAAGTGAACATTCTTTTCCTTCTTCTCTGTAAAAATAGCATATGCTTGATAATTTTCATGAATCTTTTTGAAATGACTAAAATAAATTAAATACAGATAACTACTTTGCCATTAAGGCTGGAAAAAAAATGCAGCTTTTGATTTTTGGTAAGAATAAAAATAGGTTGCTGAGAAAAGCTCCCAATTTAAGATTTTAAATGAGGCATTAAAAGTAGTTTTGGGAAAAACATGGAAAACATTGTAAAATTAAATACATATCTTGTTATTAGTAAGCAATCCATTAACATGTGTGGTCAAACTCTATCAATAAAAAATGAAAAATAAATGAATGTTATTATTTTGTATTTGAATATATGCATTTCATTAGTGACAGTCTTTTTACAAGATTAAAGAAACTCTGTAGATATTATCTAATTCTCCTTCACTAATGCCAGTTGAAGGCAATTAACTACAATTTATTATGACACATGAAGAAACCATGACCTAGAAACAGTAAAAGATTTCCTAGTAGCATAAGGAATTACAGCCAGGTTTTGAGCATTCTATTTTCTCATTTTCAGTAGAATTTTACCATTAGATCTTGCCATTCAATATTACATCTACAAATGATACTCCTCCAAATAGGACAGATTATTGAACAACATACAAGAAAGGCCTTTCACATAAAGATTGTGTGAAAAGCTGTCATATAGATAATCCTGGCAAATTGCACAACTGATCTTTGTCATATGGCATAAATATCAGCCTTTCTTTTAAAATGCAATGATGGGTGAGTACAGTCAATATATATGTATGAATAATACCTTTGAATACTTATGTGTTACTACTGTGGCAAATGAAAGACAAAGGCCTTTACTTTTATTATACTTTCAACCACGTGAAGTTAAAGCATTATCCTTTCTTATAGATGAGGAAACAGATTTGGAGGATATGAAATAATTTGACCAAGATCACAGAGCTGGTGAGGTCCAAAGTTGGAACTCAAATCCAGGTCTCCCTCAGTCACTACAAATGTGTATAATATTTAAGAAGAAAATAATTTGAAACTGCATCTCAGTTAGCTTTTTATTTAAGTTTATTCTTTGTTGCAAATTGATCCTGTAAGCATCAGGACTTCACCATCCTGATTTAACAGGCATAAAGAGATGAACAAATTCTGATATGTACAATTCAATGAGAGTATCTCAGTTTGATCAGCACCAACAATTTCATTGTTTTCTATCTGTCCTAGGAAAATGGGCCTTTCTGAAATCTGCACATTCAATAAGGCAGGTTCATAATTATCATTAAGCCATTTGCATTTATTGTCTTGTGGTAACTGGTTTCTGAGAACAAAATATCTTCTCTAGAATCACCCAACATAAAGTTCTGAGTTCATTATACTGAGTAGTTTTTCTCTTGTTGACTTTCTTTAGGCCTGGCATTCTTGCACTATCTATTCCATGTATGTGTTATAATTCAGTATTATTTTCAATGCCAGTAACATGGAAAACAAGTCAGTCACAGTTTAGTCAACTGAGCCTAAGTTTCAAGTAATAAACATCTTCCTTTCATTTTGGGGATGGAGTGAAGCCTTGGTATCATGTTAGAGCTCTAAAGTAGATTGCTTTCTGGCCCTGATTCCTTGCTCCTCCCTGTAGCCACACCTTTGCCATGAAATCTTGCAGGTCCTTTCATTCTCACCCTGGGCTCATGCATAGGGCTTGCTTTGGCAAATGGCATGTTAGCTAATGTGACACAGATTGGAGGTTAAAAAGTGCATGTGTAATTGGGCCTGCCCTTATACTTTCACCTCTGCAACCATGAAGAGAATAGACTTGAGCTGGACTGCAAGGAGGATGAGAGATAAGTGCAGCAGTCAAGATGCCTCAGTTACCAGCTTGCATGGGAGGAAGCCAAGATCAGCAGGTCCTCCTAGTTGACACCCAGCTGACTCCAGACACATGAGCAATAACTTTTCATTGTTAAATGCTACTTGGGTCCTGTGGTTGTTAGCTATTCAGGAAAAGCCAACTGATACAGAGCCCATCAGTCCATCCCATGGCTATATATACTTGCCAAATGCCCATGCTAATTTGATTCAGGAGGAACATAACCATCTGTGGTGGACATACCCTAGGATGACCCCCAGAATTTCTACTCCCTAGTATTCATGACTTTGTGTAATCTTCTCCCTTTAGTATAGGCAGGATCTGTGACTTGTTTCTAACCAATAGAATGTGGCAAAGGACGAAGGTCTGTCACCTTTATTGCTCCTGTGATTATATTACATTATATGGCAAAGGTGAAAGCAAAGGGATTTGCAGATGTAATTAAGGCCCTAATCAGTTGACTTGGAGTTAATCAAAAGGAAAATTACTCTGGGTAACTCTGACTCAGTCATGTGGGCCCTTTAAAGTCAAGTTTAGAGGTAAGAGTCCTGAAATAGTAAACTTTCTGTCCCTTGATGGCTTTGAAAAAGTAAGCTGTTATGAATTCCACAACCATAATGAAACAAATTTGCTGGGTCTCCATATAAGAATTCAGCCCAGTCAACACCTTTATTTTAGCTTGTGAGACCCTAAGAAGAGGATCCAGATAAACTGTGCCCAGAATCCAGATTCATGGAAAATGAAACTATAAATGTCTTAAATTGCTAGGTTTTGGGAAATTTGTTTCACACTAATAGAAAACTGTTATCAGTTTTCCTGAATCAAGCAAAAATAATTTCAGAGAAATATAATGTTTCTCACATGTGCCAAGAAGCACCCTTTTGGTATAAAATGACTCAAAATATTTTCTTTTTTTCTAGTTATACTATTTACTCATTAACAGACATTGCTTCTATCAGTCCTCTATGTGTTTTCAGAGAATGTTCTCTTGATATTTTGCAATGAATCATGCCTCTATTTTCTACCTGCTCTTCTCAGACCTTCATGCACTCCTCTTCTCTGAGGATCTTGGAATTTCTAACCATATTTTCATCTTTTTCAAGTTTGATACAGTCCCTGGTTCAGTTTACCCAATGTGCTATTAACATTCATCACACAACACTGAGAAAGTAATTCCTTAAGTGAAGACAAAAAGAGATTAATTATACTTCCTTCTTTTTGTTGTGTTTCCCTTCCACGCTATGTTGTATAGTGTGTGGGGGTCACTGTGTTATGGTCTCAATATTTAGCATGTAATCATGTAGAAGTTACATGTTCACCTTGCTTTAAATAAGAGTATCTTAACCACGACACTGCTGACATTTTTGGGCCAGATGATTCTTTGTTGTTGAGGGATTTCTTGTGCATTGTGAGATGCTCCCCATCATCCTTGGCTTCTACCTAATAGATGCCAATAGCACCCTTCAGACATTGTCACATGTCCCCTGGGGGGCAAAATTGCCCCTGGTTGAGAATCACTGCTTATATGAAGAAGAGACTATTAAGTAAGATATTAGTGATTTTAGAATAATTTTTGTTTCAGGTTTATAGTTAAGGACAATCAAGTTTTAACATTTCTCTGGACTTTAATTTCATGTTAAGTTTATGGTATATATATCCATGATGGGTGAAATATAAGCTCATACATCTGTAAAAATGCATGTAAAAAATCACATCATCTCTCTGAAGGGCAATTTGGCAATGTCAACTAAAATTAAAATGCAAATAATCTTTTCCTAGCTATTGCACTTCAAGTAATTACACTACAGTTGTAACTTCCCATATGTGAAAGGAGATATATTTAAGGATATTCATTGAGGCATTGTTTATAAGGACAAAAGATTGGAAACAAGATAAATATACATCAATAGAAGATGTGATAAATAAATTAGAGCATGTCTTTACAATGGGAAACTACACTGTCTCAAAAAGTAATAAGACAGCTTTTTATTTGTGCTGAAATAGAATGATCTCTCAGACATAATATTTAGTAAAAAGAAGCAAGGTAAAGGATTGTGTATGGTATCCACATACAGAAAAATATTTTAGACAATTTTCTTCATGATCTGGAGCAGGCGTATAGAGCCAGGAATGAGAATCATACAAGAGGAATTCAAAATCCTGGGAGGATAGCAAAATGTTACCAAATTATTGCCAAAGCAATGCTTCTCAGACTTGCTCCCAAAAGTACTTCAAATATCTGAGGATAGTGATGATGTTTCCTAGGGAACTGGGTCAGAGGCAGAGAAACCTTCTGGAATTCCCTTTCCCTTTCCATCTGTGCTGCTGGTGCCATTTGCAGGTCCTGGCTATTTCTGTCTCAGTGAATTAGTACGAAATCTCCTAGCTGATATTTCTGCTTCTAGTTTTACCCTGTTCCACTCCACCCTCCACAGTGTTCCCAAGTCACCTTCTAAAAGTACATTTGATCATAAGTCAAAGGGGTAAAATCCAAACATGGTATGGCTTGAGTTACCCTTTGTGATCTAGCTCTTGCCTGTGCGTTGGAATTAAGTGACTGATGATTAAAAGCATGTGGCCGGGCTTGGTGGCTCAGCCTGTAATCCCAGCACTTTGGGAGGCCGAGGCGAATGGATTGCCTAAGCCACAGGTTTGAGACCAGCCCGGGCAACTTGGCAGGACCTCATCTCTACAATAAATAAAAAATTAGCCAGGTGTGGTAGCGCATGCCTTTGTTCCGGCTACTTGGAAGGCTGAGATGGAAGGATCACTGGAGCCCAGCAGGTCGATGCTGGGGTGGCCATGAGTGTGCCACTGCACTCCAGCCTGAGTGACAGAGTGAGACTCCAACTAAAAAAAACCAAAAAAAACAAAAACAAAAACACGTGCTTTCTGGAGCCTGACTGATACAGGTTTGAGTCCTCGCCCTATTTCTCTATGTTCATTTTTCACTGTCTCCCTTTCCTCACTTACCTCTCTAGCTAGGCTTAATTAGGTAAGACCTCCCAATATACCCTGATACATTATCTCCATAGGTTTGCTTATGATAACACAGCTGTCGGGGATATGCTTAATTATTGATATACACCCACTCTCTTTAAAGACTTAGTTAACCATAACTTCCCCCAAGACCTTTTTTTCTCACTCACAATTTCTGTCCTCTCTGTATTCCCTACATACTTAGGTAGTTTGCCCAAGCTGTTCTCGACATTTTCATGACTTTCCCACCTTTCATTCAAAAATTACACATTCTTGGTAAATGGTAAGATTTCAGTAAAAACTTCCAAGGCAGTTCAGTTATGGAAGAGAAGGTGAGAGAGTTGGGGAGAGGAAGCTGGGAAAAGCAGATATAAGGAAGATAGGGGGAGTCATCTGTTGGCAAGGGTCATTTATACTTTAGTCACGTAGAACTTGGTGTATTTCTGCATCACTCTTTTAATTAGTCTCAAATCAAATTTCTATTTTAGACATCACATGCCTCAGAATTACTATGCTAGGAAAACATAGTGTAGTTAAGAGAGAAAAGGTTTATATAATAAAAGCACATTAAGTTAATATGAATGTATTCAAAACATCTCTGTTGAAAAGTGACTGTTATTCTATTCTGTTCTACTTTGTCATGTTCCATTTTACGTTGTTAAAGAAGTTTGAAACTTCCTCCCCTGAAAAGTCATTTCTTCTGGTCCTTTGCCTTTTGCTCAATTCAATTTAAATATCTCTGTGGGATGGGGAAGAGTGTTTCCTCTGTTATCATTTCTCTGTCCAGCTACTACTACTATTTGAGATAATCAAAATGTCCCCGATGGTAATCAAATGGGCCTCAGAGAGAGAGACAGGGGCTCTGTGTTTCAGGTAAGGCTGGTCATTCTTCCCAGGTGGGGCCAGTTACTAATACTTCAAGTGATGAATCCAGCTCTCCTTTGAATGGGACCAGATATTTAATATTATTTGGCTATTTATTTTATTAAATCCTTTCTTTAAAAAATATAAAATAACACTCAGAAAAGTACATAAAACTAAATGTATAGTGACTAAATCATGTAACTTCCACCTAGATATTGTCATTAATCCAGAAGCTCCACAGTTTTCTTTCCAATGATGCCATTCTCCCTCCCATCCTGGAGATAACCACAATCATCCTGACTTTGATTTATAGTTTTAACACCTATGAACTTGTCCTAAGCAAAATAGTTAATTTCAATCTTTAAGTTATGAATCTGTAAATGGATTCATGCTACATATATGTTTTTTGTTTCCAGCATGTTTCCCTTAACAATATGTTTGTGAGATTCATCCATGTGGTTTGCTAGAGGTCATCAATTTTCATCAATGCTTGGGCAGCTATTTTTACTAGTGTAGTACAAGTGAGTACTATTCCTTTCTTGATCAGAAAAGACAAACCAGTAAGTACTGTGTATTCTTTTTTTACTTGTCTTCCATTGATGTTTACACCCAGGAATGCAATCTATCTGAAAATAGTCATCAAATAGAGAAATAAAGAGGCCATGAGATACTCACTAACGACGTTGGCTTGTCCGGTGAATATGGTGTACTGGAGCTCATAGGAGACCACACTGAATTCATCATCAGAGGTCCAGTGCACGGTGATGGTGTCATATGAAGCCGTGCAGAGCTCTTCTCTTATTGTGGGAGGGTTGGGAGCTGTCGGGGTCGAGAATGTTCATCAGTGGAGAAGCAGACACTACCGGGATATTTGACAGTCAATCAGACCTTTCTAAATAGGTCTGTCAGGACTCCTATCCTAGGGATGGAGACCCCAATCCAAATAACATTTAGTTGACTGGTTATTGCTTCTAATTTAAACAAAGAGTGGATAGATTCAGACGGTGTGAATTTATCTCTGTGTATCATGATAATATGTTTGAGAAGTTAAGCAAACAAGCCAATCTTGTGCACAAAGGAAAACATATCCAAAAAAGGTATATAAGATGAACTTTTGTAGTTTCATTCACTTTGGGGGTTGGCAAAATTTTTCAGTAAAGATCTAAATGGTAAATATTTTAGGCTTTGTGGGCAATACAGTTTCTGTTGCAACTATTCAACTCTTCCATTGTATTATGAAAGCAGCCACAGACAATTTGTACATGTGGGTATGGCCAGGTTCCAATGAAACTTTATTTACAACAATAGACAGAGGGCTAGATTTGGCCTGCGATGCAAAGCTTGCCAATCTCTGATTTAAATGGTGCACAGATATTTTTATATTTAGGCATCCAGTTGGAAAAATACTTCTGTTTGTTATCCCACAGCAAATCAGCCAAATAATTGTTTGAATTTTCTTCTTTCATTAGATGTTTTGATGCCTTGTAAAAAATTAATTAGTGCAGCCCTATTTTCTTCTCATTTCTCAACTCATGGGTGATACCTCAAATTAAAGACCATGATTAACAATCAATCATCTCTAAGAGGTACATTTTCCTTCCTCAAAGAAAATACAATTTTTTTTGGCATTTGATTAACTCTATCACTGCAGAGGGCTGCTGTTTTATTTCTTTAACACATTCTGGAGCAGAGAAGTCTAAATTCTACCAAAATAATGAGTTTGAAATGACTTCTATTGGATTTATTTCAGTAACTGGTTTTATGAGAAGAGTATGTGAGCAAGAAAAAGGCTAGGCAATGAGTGTTTTGCATTGGAAATAATATTTTAGAGTAGGGGTTGGCAAACTGTGACTGTGGACCAAATCTGGCCCACTGCCTCATTTTGTAAATAAAGTTTTGTTGGAACACAGCCAGACTCACTCATTTACGTATTGTCTGTGGCTGCTTTTGTGTAACCACAAAGTTGAATAGTTGTGACCATATGGTCTGCAAAGCCTAAAACATTTACCATCTGGCCCTTTACAGTCAAAGTTTGCAGACCTCTGGTTTAGAGAATTGATCCAGGGCCTTTATTTCCACTCTTCTGTACACCAGAATCTAGCTTCAAAAGGAGAAACATGTCTGCATTCTATAGATTAGGAGCAACCTTTACTTAAACTATTGCAGAGTTCTCTCGTGTTCTAAATTTTGATTAGTATTGATGAGTCCTAAACAAACCTAGTGGGAGAAACATTTATGAAAATGGTAAATTTACAACTCTGTTTTAGTAGTCTTCACTTTGCCACCCGAAGATGTATTCAGGACAAGTATCATAGAAGCAAGTCTAGTGTATTAAATAAACTAGCTTAGCTTTGTCTCTTGGTTATTGAATTCCATGACCATTGCTGAGCACCCACAATGTGACCAGCACAGCATTAAGTTATGCATTTAAGATAGAAAGGTCCTTCATAATCTTGAAAGCATTCTTTCTGGAATATGTATTTGTACATCTGTCTCCTGGAGTATCCACATGTGAAATTTAGTATCATGTGGTGTGATTTGGATGCACATGAATCAGTGCCACCAATCAGGAGATGAATTCCATACAGGAGGCCCAGCTGCATTGTAAAACATGCTTATTATTATCTGTGTGGTCCCTGTTGGTGTGGGATCACCCCTGCATGGATCAGTGAAGAAATACTTATTCTCTCATAATTTAAATGGTTCATTGAATTATGCCTCCATCAACCATTGTACAAAAATTTTGTTCTTTTTGCACTGCAATATTTGATTAAAAATAAAGAAATGTATGTTCAAAATAGGCAAGTAGCTGTGAGACACATGGCAGTAGCCACAATCAGGAAGGAAATGTCACCTCTACGGGTTATTAACTTGACATACCACTTAGAGGCATGTCAAACGAAAAAAAAATCTTGTGTTCACAGCCAGGCAGGCTAACCTTGTTTTGATTGTAAACCCAATGGGTTTGTGCTGAGAAGTCAATACTCAATTTATTGTAAATGAGAACAGCAGCATGCTGCCAATTTCAATACTCATGGAATTGGTACCAGAACTGTTATTTTCTTGTCTCTGTCACAAACACCACACAAGGAATGGTGGGCTAATTCTTCACAAGCACTTCATTTCCTGCTTACAAATGTCTGATAAACTATTTGGACTTGGCATTATCAGCCAAGCATCATGTGTTATGTCCACAATCAATGTTATGTCTAGAAAAGAACTGAATTTGTATTTGAGGTTGACAGCTCAGAAAGCATAATAGCAGGTACCCCATATGGCCTTTAGTTTGGCATAAACAGTCATCGGGATGATATATGGTGTATATGTCACAATTCAGTGCAGTCTACTTTCACAATTTCCCCTTTAATCAATACTGTCAAATTTCTGTAGAGATTAAAATGGGCATATATTTTTGAAATACTATTAAACAATTACTGGGAAATGGGAAGGACACATTCTTGTTAATAAGACTGATTCTGGGCAGAATGGGCATGTGAATAGACAAATAATTTTCTTATCTTTTCTGTACTTAGGCATGACCTTGTAACACAGATCTGGTCTACCAGACAAAAGTGGAAGTTTGCTAGGTGGGTCATCTGAGCAAGCTTCTTGTTTTTCTGATAAACAAACATAAACCTGGGTGGCAGAATTTTTGTCCATCATTCCCCCCTCAGCTCTTCCCTTTTTGCCTAGAACTTGAGCATAACGCTTGGAGGCGGAGTAGTCCTATTGTGATCATATGGCAAAAAGGCAACACAGTGAAGGTGCCAGAACAGGAAAAGAGAAAGCCTGGGGTCTGATGTCATCATGGAACTGTTGCCCAGTCCTGAATCTCAGACCTCTCTTCTGTTTCTATAATACAAACACTTCTTGATGGGTTTACTCACTGTTCATTGGAGTTTCTGTTGCTTGTGACTAAACTCTTTCCCAAATGATATAAGAAAAAAGAGGTTTTTTTTTTTTTTTAACAGGATGCCACCATGAAAAACAACTTAGCTGGAGAAAGTCTAGACTTGTAATGTCCAATACAATAGCCATGAGCTACATGTGCCTATTTAAATTTCAATTAAATTTAGTTAAATAAAAGTAAAAATTAACTAGTTACCTTTCAAGTTTTCATTAGCCCCTTGTGGCTACTAGCTAACATGTTGGATAGTGCAGATATAGAACATTTCTATCATTGTAGCAAGTTCTATCGGATAGTGTTAGTTTAAATAAATCTCAGAGTTAAAATCTCAAAAAGGAAGGCACTATATTCATAAATATTTGAAACCAAGCTGGGTTCCTTACTGTAAAATGCTTTTTTTAAGTAGATTTCTTTCTTCCTTAATAGGAGCAGTATGTTTGAAAGAGAGAATTGCATAAGATAAGAAGTTTGTGAGCTGGGCTCGGTGGCTCAGCCTGTAATCCCGTGCTTTGGGAGGCTGAGGTGAGTGGATTGCCTGAGCCTGCGGGTTCGAGACCTGCGTAGGCAACTTGGTGAGACCTCATCTCTACAATAAATCAAAAACTAGCCGGGCGTGGTAGTGCATGCCTGTAGTTTCAGCTACTTGGAAGGCTGAGGCGGAAGGATCGCCAGAGCCTAGCAGGTCTCGGCTACGGTGACCGGGAGCGGCCACTGCATTCCACTCTGGGCGACAGAGTGAGACTCCAACTCAAAAAAAAAAAAGAAGTTTGTGGAACTACTTGCTTTCTTTGCAAATGCAGAAAGGCTAAAAACAGTACGTTGGACCCTTTTAAAGAAAAAACTCTGATCTTCTGGGTACAATGCTTTTGAATATAGAACTCCTTGCTTTCTATTTACAGACTGTAAAAACAAACATCACACAATGTTCTCTCTCTCCTGCTCCACCTTCCCTAGCCACAAACATGCACACACAGAATTGGAGTTGAGAAACTGATGCCACTACTAAGTTCGGGATGTGGTTTCTTGACGTCTGCATGTCCTAAGTGCAGTACACATCTGGCTTCTCTGAGTACACTGTGCTTTCCTGAAGTCACAGCCACCAGTAGTTCTGGCTAACACAAATAAGGCTGCTTCAACAGTACAAGTTCTTGCTCTAGAGGTTAACAGCAGATAAAAGTTTAGAAGCATGGTTAGGAATAGGAGTGGCCTGAGGTTTTTATTGTTGTTGCTGTTGTTGCTGTTGTTGTTGTTTTTTAAGCTTGACTCCCCCCCCCAAAAAAAAGCCAACCAGGAAGCACACAATTGAAACGCGGCACCAGGAATTCCAATGCAATTTTTGCTACCTTTGCCATGGTAACATTTACCGAAAGGAAATTCAGGCTTTTACTAGAAAGAGCATAGATCTTTGGTGTCTGTACAGACTTAAGCCAAATCCTAATTCTGCTACTCCCTTGCTATCTGAACTCCAGCAAGATGGCTGACCTCTATCATTTGCAAAATGAGGATTATAATGCTTTACTTCAATTTGATGGTGTGAACATTAAAATGAGATGGCAAACACAAAGAACTGAAACAGGGTAGACAATCAGTTCACTGTCAATTTTTTCTCTGCTAATGTATTGTGAGATGCCTTATTAATATGACACAAAAAATACCCAATAGAGCTATTATTTCTTAGCACCCACATCTTGTGAGGGAAATAGTGGCAAGTATACTTTTAATGATTGAAATTCTCCTTTTTTTCCTGTCTCCAATTTAGTCTTGGGCTGTGCTGGTTTGGTTAAAAAAAAAAAAAGAGGTGGGGGGAGGTGAGCAGAAATTGTTTATGGGAATACCATATGTCATCCCTAGGACAAAAGCCCATACCTCTGGTTTTTAGAGAATCATTGATCTGGTGGCAAAGTGTCTGTATCACTGAATGTACACAGTATTAAACAGAACACCAGAGACAATACCTGTAAGGTAATCCAGACATTCTAGCAATTTCTTCTCTCGGGAAAAATCTAAGGCAAAGGTGTCAAATGTGTCATTGAGGTTGATTTCAGGAATTAGGACTTGTGAGGATGCAGTTGCCATGGAGACTCTGTAATTTAAACAAAACAACTTTTTAGGGATGTCAATATGACTTTAATCATTGCTACACAGTAATGAAAAAATAAAAGGAAAATAAATATACATATTTAAGTACTTTTTTTTTACATGCAAGCCTTAAGAAGAATCTCGAAATGGCACAACACAATAACACAAAACAAATGAATGCAAGCTTTATAAAAATGAAGGAATTGGGAAAAACAACAGAATGACTTTCCCCCTTCCTTTTTACCATCGGTAAAAAATTCCTGTGAAAGCAAAAGCATATTCATATTTCATGTTGCTGTGTATTTAACAGCCTGGCCCCATCACATCTAACCCCAGCAAGAAGTACATAGCTCCAGGCATTTCTTCACACATCTGTCTGGGAAACTGTTTGTTCCTTTCAGACTCGACCCTGCTCCACTTCAAAGGGGAGTCTCCAAAATTTCAAACTGCATAAAAGGCAAAGTGAAGATTAAAAAAGAATGTTTCCAGATATTGGATTAGTTTAATCAATTACTAGCCTCTCTCTAAAATAAACATTAAAAAGGGAGTTTTTTTGTCTGGCTCATTTTTGTTCTCCTTGTATTCATTTTCTTGCACCATATTCCCAGCAGATGCCATGGAAAATATTCATGAACTTTCTCACAAATTCCCCCAGTGGATGCACTATTGCTCCTCTTCATTTAGGTTTTCTGGTTAGAATTCTCATGTATAAACTATAAAGCAAGGTATTGGTGTGTCTCAATCTCCTTCTATGTACTCAAGTTGATTTGGAAAGTTCCATTACTATTAACAAACACTTTGATTAAAAAATGCAAGTGATTCTCTTAAAAACAAGAAAAGTATGGCATGAAATGTACCACTTCTGAGCATATCAAATGATACTATATTCGTAATCTTGTTGAGTTTGGTATTTAGTTAAGTTTTGTAAACAATACTCCTATATGTAGGAAATTGTGTATGGGGCCGGGAATTTCTGAACAGAGAACACAACTTTGAAATATGCCTAATTAAGAAAACTGATGCTCATTTGTACAAGGCTACAAAGTTAGCTGGTAGCAGCCAGGAAAATTTCAGGTCTGCACTCTTCTGCTTAATTTAGAAAAATTTCAGCCCACTTTCCTCAAGGATTATAGCTCCTCTTGACTCTCTTAATGGCTCTCAAAGCTTTGGATTTTACAAAAATAACATATATTGGCTACAAAAATTACACCTGTGGGTATATTTATGCAATGGAATCGTGTGCCACAAAAAAAGAATGAATCATGGACACATGCTACAATGTGGATGAAGCCTAAAAACATTATGATCTGTGATAAAAAGTCAGTCAAACAGGTCATATATTGTATGACCCATTTGTATGAAGTACCCAGAAGAGGCAAATCCATAGAGACAGAAAACAGACTGGTGGTTGTCAGGGGCTGGGGAGAGGAAAGACGGGGAGTGATTGTTTAATGAGCATGGGGTTTAATTTTGGAGTGAAGTGTTTTGAAACTTGATGGGGTGGTGGCTGCACAGCACTGTGAATGCTCTAAATGCTACTGAATTGTGCACTTTAAAATTGTTAACTTTATGTTATGAAAATTTCACCTCTTCAATAAAAAAAGAGTATACCTATGAAATTCTGAAAACCCATAACAATGCAATTTCTGTACTTGTATTTCTGGCAGATTTACAGTGTTGTATGAGGAGAGAAGGAGAACAATAAATCAACAATGTCATAATTGGAATGATATTGGGATCCATAATGAAAGTCTTAAGAGGCAAAAACTCTAGAAAGAAAAACTTCAAGTTTTTGAATAAGAGTAGAGAATCTAACTTTATCTCCTGACTGGTTCACCAAGAGGCAGTGAATAGTAGAGTTGTGTGATTTTGTTGACTAAATATTGCACCCAAGGGAATTGAACTAATTATTGTTATCAACAGCTGCTAATTTGGACTGATGGAAACAGGGATGGTTGCTAGGCATTTTCCACTGGTGGTCAAGTTGTACTTTAAAAAATCTTTTTCCTATGAACACAGAGGTCCTCAAATTTCATAGACATCCTAGGATTATTCTGAACAAATATTCAACAAATATTTATGAAACCCTTAAAATATGCCATATACTGAAGAGCCCAGAATACATAGATCAATGCAAAAAAGTTAAAAGAAATGCCATAGTGCCATTTGAACTACTCAAAAAAAGATTTCAAAGTGAAATCTTAATAATTCTTCGTCATAATGCCCAGCAGGGCGAATTGCACTGAACTATTGTGAAACAAGCACCAAACTTGCAACTGCATTTCCCTGGCTTTAGCAGTTCCCACTGATGGAAGCCTCTTTGTTCAGGCTCATCCAAAATAAATATTTCCCCCAGGTTTCTCCTAGTCCTATGGTCTACAAACAATGATAAAACATGTCTTAGTCAAGTGACACTGTTGAAAATGCCAGCCATCTTGATAGTAGGAGCTTTGTGAAGTGGGAACCAAAAGTATCAGTTTCTAGCCTGGGAGGCAAAGACTGACAGTAAGACTCTATAGAGATTACTGCAGATTTTCACACCTATACATTTGTTTTCTGATGGAAGGAAAGATACTTAACTTTGGCTACAACTTCAAATTCTTAATTGGAGTGACAGGCAAGAGGAAATCTGCCAAATTCAACATTTTAGGCCATGTTTTTAGTTCCCAAATCCTTGTTGCCCATCTTCTGGCCTTTTAGATAAGTTGCCAAAATCCACTAGGGCTGTTAGTGTTATGCCACTTTCTCAACTTCTTGCTTTACAGTTGTGCGTGTGTGCATATGTATACATAAGTGTGTGTTAAGTTCTTCTTAACATGTTGGAGGACATAAGAGCATTGTGTTCTGTCTTGATGCTTAAAAGGTGGGTTGTATATTACTCTCTGTTTCTATTTCTGCTCTGATGCTCCTAATCTCCATAACACTCAATTGCTGGTGGCCACATGGGGCCAGTTTTCCAGAAGGTGGATATATCTAGAGCTATTCTGCCCACAAGGCTTCTGCCAAACCATGCGCACCACCATGGTAAAATCCAGTGAGGCTTCACAGTAACAAAATGGGTTTATGTTGGTCAGCTCAGGATTTCCCAAACACATTTGGCCTCGGAACCTCATTGTTATCTTAATGCCTATGAATACCAGGCAAAGCTCACTTCCAAAACCACTCAATATATGTACTTCAATTCTTAGAACTAAGTGACATCCTTCCAGAGCTGACAACTAGAGTTATTGGCTTTGTATTCTGGAAAAGTCCAACGGATCCTTCAACTGCCTGGTAATAAGGAAGAGAGCGATCACCTTGAGGGTCTGAGAACCTCCTAGATGCTCTGAAAAATGGGTACTGTTTGGAGGGAATTTTCTTTTTACTATCTTCTTGATACAGATAATTTATTGTTAAAAGTGGTTTTAATTTTAGATTCTTCATAAGAAGTAGACCAACTTTCTTATGCCTAGATTTAGTGAATAGTTTTGCTTATTTGACACAATGTTATAAAGATGAATAACAATCATGCCAATGACCTATGTATTAGTGTAGCTTGAGAATATAGTATGTTATACATTACATTTGCATTCATCTTGTAAGTGGGGAGGAAGGGAATTAAAATTTCTTGTATGTTCACCTTGTGACAGAAACTGGACTAGTATTTTTACTATACTATTTCATTTTATCCCTACAACAACCATATTAGGTAGGAATAATTGACCCTGTTTTATAAATTTATTAATTCACTCACTCATTCATGTCAGGCAGTTTGCAATGTGCTGGAGCTATCTTGATAAAAATAAGATGACCAAGTTTTCTGCTTGCATGGAGCATAGAGCAAAACTAGACTCAGCAATGCCAGTGAGTGGCCCTTATGCTATCTATAAGTACTGTGCAAAAGTGCAGAGCTGAACAACTGGTTCCAATGCATATGTATCTCCTACAATGTAAAGCTTGAGGTTCTCTCTTCATTAATTTTTTTTAAATGTTTCTGAAATCTAAAAAAATGCAATTTTGATTCAGTTTGTAGGAGAACATATCCACTTAAACTGATTTAATAATGCAGAGAAATCTCACTAAGTCTCACTTCAAGAATGCCTGCAGGATTACAAGTTTATTCTGGGTTCCACCATTGAATTTAAGAATAAAGATTGGAAGTATACAGGAGTCAAAGCCCAAGGCAGACACAATAGCAGACAGAGAAATAGAAGTCACATTCTAGAGAAGAATGTTAAGTAACAGGTTGAAGAATAGCATCAGGTAGACAGAGAGTAGTATTGGAACAAAGACATACAAGGAAGGCTAGACTGACATGGAAATATGAAAACATAGATTCAGCTAACACCCATAAAGTATCTACGATGCTGAATACCTGTTTTAATGTAATCACAATAGAGACAGCTATTCTGAGCCCAATTTTCTAAGTAGAAAATAGCTCAAAGATCCATACTAAAAAAAGGCAGTGCTAGGATTGAAACCTAGATTTTCTAATCCCTAGTCTAAGCCTAGAGGTCTTTTGCTACATCACAGCTACTGGAAGTAGAGAAAGGCTCAGAAATTAAGCAGGAGGACTGACAGAGATGGAAAGAGAGGGGATTTCAGAAACACAGAGACAAGACTCCCCGCACATTTTTATAGGTTTTGTGTATTTAAATTTGACAGGAGCATGTTTTTGTAGGAAGAGAAATCAATCATGATGTGATGGGCTTATTATGAGGGGAGCTGAACTGGAGCTGGGAGAGATCACATATGGACATTCACGCACTTGGGTGGAACTTCAATTGCATATCTTCTTTCAGCATAACTGTTATGAGGCCATATTCTCTTTAGTCGCTAGGTAAGGATTAATTCATGTGACACTTGGTCGAAATTTTAAGGACCGCTGAGGAATGCACCTCATAGTAGCCACTTCGTCTGGACATCTCGCAACTCATAGGTGGAGAAAACTAATCTTGGATTCCAGTTGGAAACCATGACCTAAGTGTAAATGCTATCTATTAGTGTCCTGGGTACACTGGAGTATTAGTGCTATTTGCAGTTTTTAACTTTAGGGTGAATACTGAGCAATTGGATATGGTCCAGTGAAAACAAATTCTTGGAACCTGGAAGTTACAAGGGAAAAAATGGGCCTCTATTAGAGTAGGGAGGAGAGCATTTTAGAGATATAACAGGGTGATAGCCAGCTGTTATCCATGTCCCTTACAAGAGATAAGTATCTAATCAGCTGCAAAATGATTTTTCCACAAATATAAGAAATAATACAGTCAAGCTGGTTGGATAGTAGACCAAGGTTGTGAAAACACTGAACACCACTCTTTAAGAACGGTGAAAATGGAGATATCAATGCCTACTTCCTCTATCTGATATTTTGAGGATTAGCACAGTGTCTGAAACACGTAAGCACTCAAACTTTGAGGAAGTTTGAGTCATAAGATGGCGAGTATTTTTTGCCCCTAGGCCGGGGATTGGCAAAGTACAACCTTATTTTTGTAAGTGGTTTTATTGGCACACAGCCACATCTATTTGTTTCTGCATTATCTATGGCTACTACAGAGCTAGCTAGCTACAATGGCATAGTTGAGTAGTTGTGGCCAAGACCTTATAACCTGCAAAGCCAAAATATTTACTCTCTGGTCTTTTACAGAAAAAGTTTGCTGATCTCTGCTGTAGGATGAAGATCAGCATGAATGAGATCTTTGAGGTCTTCCAGTGATAGAATTCTATTATTGCTTTAAATAGAGGGGAGGTGACTTTGAAAATTAGAATAAATGAAGACAAGACCATTAGCACTGGTTGAAGATGGCATTGGTTGTACCTGGCCCAGCCTAGTGCATCTCTTTGGATTCACTGGAATTGCTTTAGATATTTGTGTCCATGAAGATGAGGAATTTTTATGCCAGTCAAGTATGTGAACTGAAGGAATACTCATTCTGGCCAGTTTTACTGCTGAGCCAACTATTCAGATAACATCATTTTTAAGTTCCCTAGCTGAGAATAAAGGGTATTTTAAAAGGAGATGGTATGAAGTTGACAGTTTGGTCCTTTCTCTCTCACATGAGTAGGGCTTGACCTTTTCAGGCAAGGCCAAGCTTCTCAACCAAATGAAAATAGGCCTAACAGATAACATCTGTGTGATTTAAAAAAAAGTAATAGATGAGCCCTGTGATGGAAGAAAAGATTCCCTTTTATGTTTTTGCCTTCATTTTGATTCTTTGTTACCAAGTGAACGATAAGATCAGGTCTGGGAGTCACAATAAATGCAGGTTTTGTGCCATCATAAGCTTTCTACCCCCCAAAAGCAGGTTGATTTTATTCTTTCTAACTGGTGGACTCTTGTTTCAAAGGCCTTGAACTGCAGGCTGTTACTGAAAGGGCTTTGACGTGTCAAAGGGAAGCATCTTTAGCTGGGACAAAATTGCTCAAAGCCTCTATTCTCTCTGGTACTCAGCCTTGAAAATGAAAACAAAAGCAAGGCGAGGGCAAAGTCAACCAATCATACCCAAGAAACAAGAGCCCAGCAGCCGAGAAGCTTCCCAGGTCTCCGCACTCACCTCTCAGTGATGTTCTTAGCAGTCTGTAGGAAACGAGCATGATCATTCTCCTTCAGAGAGTGTTCCGCTTGGGAGATGAGTGATGCCGACCGCTCAATGCACTGTTTGCAGTTTGCAATCTGCTGAGCCAGTTTTCGAAGTCTCATCACCTTGAACAAAAGAGGCATGGAGAGAGCTGGTTACATGGGTGGGCTCACTTTGTAAAAAGGCATCAGGCTGGACCTTTCATTTTGTTGTGTTGTCCTTCCATAAAAGTTCAAAAAGTAGGCATAGAGAGATAACAAAATATAAAAGCCCAGTTATGGAACTGTCTTAGATATTCTTTATCTCCTTGGAGAAATGTTGCTAATTCGTTTTATGAGGAAACACTGAATTGCGAATTGCTTCCCTGTTGATGGAAAAAAAAGGTGTTGCCCAGTGGCAAGTTACAAAGGGTCACCAGACCTCTTCCCTGGACTATTTCACACAATGACTGTAAGACCATAGGGAATCCTGGAACTTTCTCTATCTCAGGTTTTCAGCTGTGCCATCAAGAAGATAAAACATCTCTATAGGTGTGAATTTGTGGCTTAAGTAAAAACCATTTTCTAAAAAGTTATTTGTAATCCATGTAATAAAATTGTGATGTAAAAGCATTAGGTGTTACTATTTCCCACACTATCTAAATCTCATGTGTTAAATTAACAGAAAGGGAGCATTTTTCCCATTGATTAATATTTTTCCTGTTGAGCAGATGAGAGAAAGCCAAAAAAAGCACAGCTGGGCCATTTCCCCTCGCTGGGAACGTCATTTCCAGGCACTTTGTGCTCACTTGATAACCAAGAACTATTTTGATAAGCATTTCCCAGTTGGGATAAAAATGCATGATTGCTTCACAGACTCCATTCCAATTCCTGATTCTGTCTTGCTTGAAAATGACCCTCAAATGTAATTGACCATAACCTCTGGGGCAGGCCAAGATAAGTCCAAGGTAACCCACTTGACCATTCGCTCTGGTGTTTGAAATATGCTGTGAGATGAAGTCCTATGGCCAGAAGTCAAGTTAAAATTAGACCACTAATTGCAATTGCCGTGTGCCTAGTGCCCCATCCACACACCCAGGGGCAGGTTTTGGCTGACTTTCTGATAATTCTGGAATGGAAAATAGCCCTGGGTGAAAGGGTAGGGAGGATGCTGGTTAATCTGTCTTGCAGACAAAGGCTGGTTTAGACTCCCTTTAGAATTCCTGCTAACTCCAAGAAATTCCTTCTTTCTCCAAGTCATCATTGTCATCCCTGTGTAACTCTAAGAAAAGGAAGGAAGGGAATGTCAGAACTTGAGGCCTCTAAGGAACGTCCAATTCCAAGTATGTACTGTAGCAAACAAAGGAAATTAATGAATTGAAAGGCAGCAGGCACATTATTTCAGGCAAGGTTGAGAAAAGTTCCTGAAAATAACAAGTCAGAGAATGAAGTGTCAAAACTTTGGGGCAAACAGTATGTGATCTTGAGCCTGGTAAAAGATTTAACTCATTATAATTATAGTTACTGTCCCCAGTGGATTAACTGTGCTCATTAATTACATAAAATAATACTTATTTTACACCAAATATAATTTAGCCTCTGGCATCTTATATCCAGAGGCAAAGTTAAGAAAGTGTCTAGTGCAGTTCAGGATATTAGAACATGGCTGTAAGAAGTTGTCAGAGAAAGGAAAAATTCCACAGGGAAAATAACTTATAGTCCCTAGAACAAACCAAGTGAATGAAATATTTAATCATACAGCATAAAGACTAATTTAAATTACATGGCAGAATTGAAGACTTTAATATAATTCCAACAAAAAATAGGGTCAAAATATTTCTTTAGAATAACTTCATATTAATCACTTATCTTTTGAATATGCCTGTTAAAGACAACACAGATTACAAATGGATGGTGCCTGGACCCTAGTTTCTTCTTTTCTTTTTCTATCATGATACTGAAAATTCAAAGTGACATAAGAGGAAAGGGGAAAAAAAACCCCTAAATCATCCATAATTAAAGCAAGACAAAATGAGAGCTTACTGTGAAAATACTAAAATTTTCTACAGAGAACAATTTGGGGTATAATTTTAATTATAGGTCAGTGTACAATTTCATCTGATATACTGGATCAGTGCTTTTCAATCTGACTGTGCAAAAGAATTAGCTGGGATCATTTTAAAAGAAAAAAAAACTAGATGTTTGGGATTACTCTCCAATATTCTGGTTAAGGAGTTGTAATTCACAGAGGAGCAGTAATTTGCATTTCAATAAGCAATGAATGTTTTTTAATCTGCAGGTGATGAAACATTAATATGGTCAAGACTAGCATTTAAAAAACCAAAAAGAGCCGGCTTGGTGGCTCAGCCTGTAATCCCGTGCTTTGGGAGGCCAAGGTGAGTGAATTGACTGAGCCCGCGGGTTCGAGACCCGTCTGGGCAACTTGGTGAGACCTCATCTCTACAATTAAAAAAAAAAAATTAGCCGGGCATGGTAGCGCGCGCCTGTAGTTCCAGCTACTTGGAAGGCTGAGGTGGAAGGATCGCCGGAATCCAGCAGGCCGAGGCTGCAGTGGCCGGGAGCATGCCACTGCACTCCAGTCTGGGTGACAGAGTGAGACTCTAACTCAAAAACAACAACGACAACAACAACAAAAAACCAAAAAGAAGAGAAGAGAACAGTAGAGTGCAATTCTGGTAGAAAGAGCAAGGTGAATTTTGCAAAACCTTTTTTGTGTGTGTGCATGTGTATGCACTGTTTTGTGATGTCATATATATTTCTTACTGTGGACGGCAGTAAAAAAAAATAAAGAAAAAAGAAAAATCACTGGTCTGATAGGTGTTTACAAACTATGATCTATGAGCCATATCCAGCATACAGCCTATTTGTGTAATTCAAGTTTTACTGGTACATCAGCATACTCATTTGTTACATATCATCTATGGCTGCTGTCATGCGACATCACTGGACAGAAGCAAGTTGTTGCAACAGAGACTGTATGGAAAGCCTAAAGTATGTGTTATCTAGCCCTTTACAGAAAAAGTTTGGTGACCCCCCAGCTGAAATAATTGTGGTCAGATGACCCTGATTTGAAGCACTTTCTGAAACACTGTCCTACTTGTCAGAGCACTTCAAACTCAGACATTGAACATAGAGAAAAATACTTAATTTTTCATTAGACACACTTTTCAGTATATTATTTTAAACAACTGAAAAGATGAATAAAATGTGATATTTTGGAAAAATACTAGATACTGACATATAAGAAGTTTCTATATATAGGTATACATCTTGGTGTGGCAGGGGTAATTTTTTCCAGTCGATTCTGCTCATCTTTCCTTTGGGAAGTGAGATTGGCACATTGTAACTTTTGGAATTCAGTCTGTGCTCATCATTGAAATATTGTGTCTGTTAGAATCTCCTTTTAGGGAGGACACATGCCTGTTTATATCATTTTATGCACTGCTTATTATACCTTACACTCTCTTTTAAAAGCAATCTTATTTTGCTTTAAATACATTGTAAACACGCAAACGCTTTTTAATGTATGTAGGATGCACATCCCCAAACTGCTATGTCCAAACAATGAATACTCAATTAACACAAGTGTTTGAATTGAAGATAAGGCCTGTATTCAGTATCTCTTTAAGGCCACGGAAAGCCTGAACATTTAGCTATGTTAATTCTCTAAATTTTGAAGATTTAATATACACAAATGGCAGTAAAGCAGAGAGACACCTTTTCCGTTTAGCTGTGGCCTTCAGTAGTCTACATAGTTCTGTGTCTGAATCTAAAATGCATGAACTGGCTTAATCTGGAGTTTTCCATCAGCTTTTTGTGTGTTGACATGAAACTTAACCCCTACTACTTAAAAAATATGAAAATTCTTTTCCAGGGAGCCTCATGACTTGAGACTCTCTGGTACATCCTAGAAAGGCTGTTGAGGTCTGTTTCAGAGAACAGCCTTTTGACTGGATCAGAAATGGACGGGGGTAAAGTAAGGAGATTAATGACATTTACTTTTGTGGTCTCCTCAATTCTGCCTGGTTCTTACTCCACCTGCCCACTTCAAAATGCTTGTCAGAGGGCCTTACCGTCCCTTCAGTGCCCTCAGTCATCATTGCCACCCCGGGCTGCAGAGACCCAAGTCCCACAGTGGGCCCCAAGTCCACACGTTCCTTCCCTGCCTGGAGTCTCAGATTTCCAGGCTGTTGGTACTCATGCCTTTCCTGTTAGAAACATATCTCTGACACAATATGCCCTTGCCAGGGACTCAGGTCACTGTGAATTCCAGGGTTTGAAGTTAACTAATCCTTGGACATGTGCCAAAGTACAAACTCAAAAGAAAGCCAAATTGAACGCTCACCTTTCCCTAGTAACATCTACCTTCTAGCATTGCCTTCTGAGATAATGTCCCAGAGCAAAAGTACACTTTCTAAAAGTGAAACACTTGAAACATTCAGCAAATGTACTAAGTAATATGATGAACTTTCCTGTACATAGTGCCAGATTTACTAACTCTCAATATTTTCATCCTATAAGCTGAGTTTTCAAAAGGAAGTGAAATATTATCAGTAGCATTCCCTCGTCTCATCCACATCTCTCTTCAGAAGAAAAGACTCTGGAATTTAGAGTTGAGCACTCCCAAACATGTTTATGCCTATACAAAGTATGAGATTTTTTATAGTTTACCAAACTTTCTATTGCATTTTTTTTAGTTTTCTTCCAATGCATTTATTAAGTTATTCTCTTTTTTTTTTCAAAATCATACATGAATATGACACACCATTCAAACAATGTAGAATGGCTTGCATTCTTATAATTTGTCCATGCTTAATATATATTACCCTATGAAAGGACAGACCAAGAGTGGGAAGCCATTTTTCATCTTGTTCTTAACTCCTGACACAATGATGAGAAAGTAGAAGCTATGCTTTTGGAGAAACACACACTTTAGGTAAAATTAACTTTACTGACTTTGTCTTTTCAGAAACAGACTTCCAGGTATCAGTGGTATCTCGTAGTGGCAATCAAGCTTGTCTAAAGTAAAGGGAATTTACAAGACCAAGGACATCATGCATTGGGCAAGGATTGTAAAAATCATGCAACTTGTAATTACAAAAGTTATGAACGCTCAGAGGGAGAGC